GGGGGGGGGGGGGGGGGGGGGGAACCGAGGACCCCCCCCGAAGAGAAGCCGGAAGTTTGCCATCTTACTGGTGGGGGCCCTTCACCTGGGAAGGCACCTCTCATATTTATTGATCAGGTATCACATTCTTGAGTGGGTTAACAAATTTCTAGACACAATGATTAACATGCTTTACTCCAGGAATGTAATTGCCCCCAGGTTGCTGGGGCAAATTGTCCCTGTCGCCAGGCAATGAGGGGGTACAGATAACAAGAAACAGATCTTGGTTTAGATTTAGTGAGCTGCGGCATGCACCACAGATAACAAGGAAGGCAAACAACTCCCATAGAAACAGAATGAACTATGGATGGCAACCTACAGTGGAGACATATAGTACAATACAACTGAACCTCAAAAACATTAAGCTAAATAAAAGAAGCTAGACACAAAGGCCACATATTGTATGAATCTGCTTATGTGAAATATCCAGAATAGGCAAATCCACAGAAACAGAAAGCATGCCAGGGACTGCGGGTGTGCAGGGAATGCAAAGTGCTAAGGGCAGGGCATCTTTTTGGTGTTGAGTGTTCTGGAATTTGATTGTAGTGATGGTTGCTCAACATTATGAGTGTACCCAAAACAACTGAATTAATCACTTGTAAAGGGTGAAATTTATGATGCATGAATTTTATCTTAATAAAAAAATAATATTCGGCAAAGACATAGTACTGTGTGTAACAACATGAATAAGTCTCAGGAATATACTATTAAGGGAAATGATCCAAACACCAAAGTATACATACTAGATGACTCTGTTTATGTAAAGCTCAGCAACTAATCTAGGTGTTAGAAGTCAAGATTGTGACAACATTAGAGGAGAGGGGTACTGACAGTGGGAAATAGGGAGATTCCGGAGGACTGGTGATGCTCTATTTGTTGATCTAGGTGGTGGTTACATGGCTGTGGTCATGGTATGTTATACTTCAATAAAAAGCATATTGAAGATAGCAAGAAAAAGTCAATTGACCATACATGTAAGGTCTGTTTCTGCCCTTTCAATGATGTCCCATTGATTTATATGTCTATCTTCATGCCAGTACCACCCATCTTCATTTCTGTGGCTTTATGAAAAATGTTGATATCAGGTAGCCCTCAAATTTTGTCCTTTTTCAAAATTGTCTTGACTAATCTAGGTCCATGGCATTTCTACATCAATTTTCAAATGAGCTGGTCAATTTCTTTTTTTTTTTTTTGGTCAGTTTCTACTGGGATTGTGTTAGGGGTTGTGATGAATCTCTAGGACAGTTCAGGCAGAACTGCCATCGTAAAAATATGGACTCTTCCGTTCCATGAACACAGACTGTCTCTCCGTCACATAGATCTTCATCTCAACAGTGTCTTATAGTTTTCAGAGCACATGGCTTACACTTCTTTTTTTATATTTACTAAGTATTCCTTTCTTTTGATGCTGAGACAGGGACCGTAGATGTAGTCAGAGTAAGGTGAGGGCCTCCGGAGGGGGCAGGGCAGGATATTTGCAGTCAGAGCAATGTAACTACATGCAAGGAAACCCCCCTACCAAAACTCTATGTTAAACATTGAGCTCTAGAATCTTTCTTCAGTGACATTTGTTAATGTTCCCCAGATAAAGAAGAGTAGCACATGTTTTACTATGCCAATCATTTGTGACCATGTGTAAGATTCACTTCAGCATGCTAAAAGGCCCAGGCCTATGTGCTGTCTTTCCTCCTTCAGATCTGACAAGGTGATTTTGCAAACTGAGCAACTAACTTAGCATGTAGACCCAGCTGTAGACAGCATGGTTAAAGGCAGGAAGAATTCCACCTTAAATATAAGATTATATTTTAACACCCAGGAAGTTCAAGAGGCAAGATTCTTTAGCAAGTAGACAATACCTCAGCCCACCTTGGGGGCTGGGCAGGCAGCCTTTTGATATGCTCCCAGACCAAGGTGCTGGTGTCCCAGAGAGAAATCAAGGCAGGAAAATCCTTACAGTTGTTAATTTTTAATATACAGGAACCACTTAACAAGTCCCCA